ACATCTCAAAAACAATGAATTAAAATTATGGCCAACTGATATTTGTTCTGTGAGAAGATTTAGTAGTTTTAGAACATGCAAGACATTCACAGAAAGATAGACAAGATGAAAAGGCACAGAGCTATGTACCAGATGAAGGAACAAGATAAAACCCCAGGAAAACAACTAAATGAAGTGGAGATAGGCAACCTTCCAGAAAAAGAATTCAGAATAATGATAGTGAAGGTGATCCAGGACCTCGGAAACAGAATGGAGGCAAAGATCGAGAAGATGCAAGAAATGTGTAACAAAGATCTAGAAGAATTAAAGAACACACAAACAGAGATGAACAACACAATGACTGAAATGAAAAATACACTAGAAGGAATCAATAGCAGAATAACCGAGGCAGAAGAACGGGTAAGTGACCTGGAAGACAGAAAGGTGGAATTCACTGCTGCAGAACAGAATAAAGAAAAAAGAATGAAAAGAAATGAAGACAGCCTAAGAGACCTCTGGGACAACATTAAATGCAAAAACATTTGCATTATAGGGCTCCCAGAAGGAGAAGAGAGAGAGAAAGGACCCAAGAAAATATTTGAAGAGATTATAGTCAAAAATTTCCCTAACATGGGAAAGGAAATAGCCACCCAAGTCCAGGAAGCACAGAGAGTCCCATACAGGAGAAACCCAAGGAGACACACACCGAGACACATAGTAATCAAACTGGCAAAAATTAAAGACAAAGAAAAATTATTGAAAGCAGCAAGGGAAAAATGACAAGTAACATACAAGAGAACTCCCATAAAGTTAACAGCTGATTTCTCAGCAGAAACTCTACAAGCCAGAAGGGAGTGGCATGATATACTTAAAGTGATGAAAGGGAAGACCTACAACCAAGCTTACTCTACCCAGCAGGGATCTCATTCAGATTTGATGGAGAAATCAAAAGCTTTACAGACAAGCAAAAGCTAAGAGAATTCAGCACCACCAAACCAGCTCTTCAACAAATGCTAAAGGAATTTCTCTAAGTGGGAAACACAAGAGAAGAAAAGGACCTACAAAAACAAACCCAAAACAATTAAGAAAATGGTCATAGGAACACACATATCAATAATTACCTTAAAAAGGAATGGATTAAATGCTCCAACCAAAAGACACAGGCTTGCTGAATGAATACAAAAACAAGACCCATATATATGCTGTCTACAAGAGACCAACATCAGACCTAGGGACACATAAAGACTGAAACTGAGGGGATGGAAAAAGATATTCCATGCAAATGGAAATCAAAAGAAAGCTGGAGTAGCAATACTCATATCAGATAAAATAGACTTTAAAATAAAGAATGTTACAAGAGACAAGGAAGAACATTACATAATGATCAAGGGATCAATCCAAGAAAAAGATATAACAATTATAAATATATATGCACCCAACATAGGAGCACCTCAATATATAAGGCAACTGCTAATAGCTATAAAAGAGGAAATCGACAGTAACACAATAATAGTGGGGGACTTTAACACCTCACTTACACCAATGGACAGATCATCCAGACAAAATTAATAAGGGAACACAAACTTTAAATGACACAATAGACAAGATAGGTTTAATCGAAATTTATAGGACATTCCATCCAAAAACAGCAGATTACACTTTCTTCTCAAGTGCGCATGGAACATTCTCCATGATAGATCACATCTTGGGTCACAAATCAAGCCTTAGTGAATTTAAGAAAATTGAAATCATATCACACATCTTTTCTGGCCACAACGCTATGAGATTAGAAATCAATTACAAGGAAAAATACGTAAAAAACATGAACACATGGAGACTAAGCAATAGGTTACTAAATAACCAAGAGATCACTGAAGAAATCAAAGAGGAAATCAAAATATACCTAGAGACAAATGACAACAAAAACATGACAATCAAAAACCTATGGGATGTGGCAAAAGCAGTTCTAAGAGGGAAGTTTATAGCTATACAAGCCTACCTCAAGAAACAAGAAAAATCTCAAACAAACAATCTAACCTTACACCTAAAGGAACTAGAGAAAGAAGAACAAACAAAACCCAAAGTTAGCAGAAGGAAAGAAATCATAAAGATCAGACCAGAAATAAAAACAAAGAAAACAATAGCAAGGATCAATAAAACTAAAAGCTTGTTCTTTGAGAAGATAAACAAAATTGATAAACCATTAGCTAGACTCATCAAGAAAAAGAGGGAGAGGACTCAAATCAATAAAATTAGAAATGAAAAAGGTGAAGTTACAATGGACACTGCAGAAATACAAAGTATCCTAAGAGACCACTACAAGCAACCCTATGCCAATAAAATGGACAACTTGGAAGAAATGGACAAATTCTTAGAAACGTATAACCTTCCAAGACTGAACCAGGAAGAAACAGAAAATATGAACAGACGAATCACAAGTAATGAAATTGAAACCGTGATTTAAAATCTTCCAACAAACAAAAGTCCAGGACAAGATGGCTTCACAGGTGAATTCTATCAAACACTTAGAGAAGAGCTAACACCCATCCTTCTCAAACTCTTCCAAAATGCTGCAGAGGAAGGAACACTCCCAAACTCATTCTATGAGACCACCATCACCCTGATACCAAAACCAGACAAAGATACTACAAAAAAGAAAATTACAGACCAATATCACTGATGAATATAGATGCAAAAATTCTCAACAAAATATTAGCAAATAGAATCCAACAGCACATTAAAAGGATCATACACCATGATCAAGTGGGATTTATCCCAGGGATTCAAGGATTCTTCAATATATGCAAATCAATCAATGTGATACACCATATTAACAATTTGAAGAATAAAAATGATATGGTCATCTCAATAGATGCAGAAAAAGCTTTTGACAAAATTCAACACCCATTTATGATAAAAACTCTCCAGAAAGTGGGCATAGAGGGAACTTACCTCAACATAATAAAGGCCATGTACAGCAAACCCACAGCAAACATCATTCTCAATGGTGAAAACCTGAAAGCATTTCCTCTAAGATCAGGAACAAGACAAGGATGTCCACTCTTGCCACTATTATTCAACATAGTTTTGGAAGTCCTAGCCATGGCAATCAGAGAAGAAAAAGAAATAAAAGGAATACAAATTGGGAAAGAAGAAGTAAAACTGTCACTGTTTGCAGATGACATGATACTATACATACAGAATCCTAAAGATGCCACCAGAAAACTACTAGAGCTAGTCAACGAATTTGGTAAAGTTGCAGGTTACAAAATTAATGCACAGAAATCTCTTGCATTCCTATACACTAATGATGAAAAATATGAAAGAGAAATTAAGGAAGCACTCCCATTTACCATTGCAACAAAAAGAATAAAATACCTAGGAATAAACCTACCTAGGGAGACAAAAGACCTGTATGCAGAAAACTATAAGACACAGATGAAAGAAATTAAGGATGATACCAACAGATGGAGAGATATACCATGTTCTTGGATTGGAAGAATCAATGTTGTGAAAATGACTATAGTACTCAAAGCAATTTACAGATTCAATGCAATCCCTATCAAATTACCAATGGCATTTTTTATGGACCTAGAACAAAAAATCTTAAAATTTGTATGGAGACACAAAAGACCCTGAATAGCCAAAGCAGGGAAAAAAACAGAGCTGGAGGAATCAGACTCCCTGACTTCAGAATATACTGCAAAGCTACAGTAATCAAGAGAATATGGTACTGGCACAAAAACAGAAATATAGATCAATGGAACAAGACAGAAAGCCCAGAGATAAACCCATGCACCTATGGTCAACTAATATGAAAAGGAGACAAGGATATATAATGGAGAAAAGACAGTCTCTTCAATAAGTGGTGCTGGGAAAACTGGACAGCTACATGTAAAAGAATGAAATTAGAACATTCCCTAACACCATACACAAAAATAAACTCAAAATGGATTAGAGACCTAAATGTAAGACCAGGCACTGTAAAACTCTTAGAGGAAAGCCTAGGAAGAACACTCTGACATAAATCACAGCAAGATCTTTTTTGATCCACCTCCTAGAGTAATGGAAATAAAAACAAAAATAAACAAATGGGACATAATGAAACTTCAAAGCTTTTGCACAGCAAAGGAAACTATAAACAAGACGAAAAGACAACCCTCAAAATGGGAGAAAATATTTGCAAACGAATCAACAAAGGATTAATCTCCAAAATATATAAACAGCTCATGCAGCTCAATATTAAAAAAAACAAACAACCCAGTGCAAAAATGGGCAGAAGAACTAAATAGACATTTCTCCAAAGAAGACATACAGATGGCCAAGAAGCACATGAAAAGCTGCTCCACATCACTAATTATCAGAGAAATGCAAATCAAAACTACAATGAGGTATCACCTGATACCAGTTAGAATGGGCATCATCAGAAAATCTACAAACAACAAATGCTGGAGAGGGTGTGGAGGAAAGCGAACCCTCCTGCACTGTTGGTGGGAATGTAAATTGATACAGCCACTATGGAGAACAGTATGGACGTTCCTTAAAAAACTAAAAATAGAATTACCATATGACCCAGCAATCCCACTACTGGGCACATACCCAGAGAAAACCATAATTCAAAAAGACATATGCACCCCAATGTTCATTGCAGCACTATTTACAATAGCCAGGTCATGGAAGCAACCTAAATGCCCATCGACAGATGAATGGATAAAGAAGTTGTGGTACATATATACAATGGAATATTACTCAGCCATAAAAAGGAACAAAATTGGGTCATTTGTAGAGACGTGGATGGATCTAGAGACTGTCATACAGAGTGAAGTAAGTCAGAAAGAGAAAAACAAATATCGTATATTAACGCATATTTGTGGAACCTAGAAAAGTGGTACAGATGAACCGGTTTGCCAGGCAGAAATAGAGACACAGATGCAGAGAACAAATGTATGGACACCAAGGGGGGAAAGTGGGGAGTGGGGGTGGTGGTGTGATGAACTGGGCGGTTGGGATTGACATGTATACACTGATGTGTATAAAATGGATGACTAATAAGAACCTGCTGTATAAAAAAATAAATAAAATAAAATTCAAATAAAAAGTAAAGAGGTGAAGAGGGAAGTGCCCATCATAAAGAGGGTGGGTCAGTCCCGAAAATACAGGAAAAGGAGTGTCACAAGCAAATGGCACCTGTGCCCAGTCTGGCACTCTTCAAGTGGGGGCACCTTGTCTATTCGATTTTAAGTATCTTCAATCCACTGGCCATGTTATTCCTATGATTAGTGTTATGGCATCAGGGTATCATCAGTGCCTTTTGTCACTGAACAGTTTAATAATTCCCTACATGCCTCCCACAACATTTCACAATTCTGTGCTTCTTATTAAAATGTGATAGGGAGACAATAGACTGGTCAGCTTGAAATAAATAGTCTACACGGCAGTTACGGTGTTCACTGGAGATTCTGAGATGTAAGTTTACCCATGTGAGAAAGAGCCACTCTCCATGGGGGCTCTGAATACACAAGCTGACAAAAAGAAAAAAAGAATATGCACAACCAAGTTTGATGTGCATACATATATTAAAAGTATAAAAGCATGCATGAGAATGATAAACACCAAAATCTGGCTAGTTTACCTCTGAAGAGGTAAGAGGAAAGTGGATTGAGGTGTACACAGGGGAAGCTTCAACTGTATCTGTAATTTGTTACCTCATTAAAAATATCAAATGTGAGAAAGTTTTGGGTTTACTAAAGCTGAGTGGTGGTCATTCTCCATACATTTTTGATAAGCTTGATATTTAATAATAAAAACCAATATTTTAAAGAGTTCTTTTTGGTCGATGGGTCTCTGTATCCCAGCCTTGATTGATTTCAGTGGTCTCATCCCCAGGAGCACCTTAGAAATGAGCCATTGAAGGTTTTGTCTGTCATGAGAGAACAGGACACGTGTTTTGCTGAAAGCCTGCTTTCAGTTTTAAGGTTTGTTGGATTCGTTGGCAAAATAACCACTTGTTTCACATAAATAAACAGCTTTAATCAATTCTTTAATGAAAGGTGATTAAACTTAATTTTAATATACAGTCATTAGAAGGAAAGGAATAAGAATATTAGAGAAACATAACAGGATATACATCACCGAATTGTGCCAACACCTACTTCCAGATCCAAACAGCAGCTGGAAAGTCCCAAGTGACAGCAATCTGGAGCCCCAATTGGGAAGGGTCCCGGATGGTGCATCCACCCCACAGGTGAGACTTCAGATTGGAGTTCTGGGGGCTTCCGTTTATAATTCCTGGCCTCAAACTGATATCATCAGTTTGTGTGCAAAAATGCAGCTCTGGATTCAACAATGCTGTTGGTTTCACCATGTGAGTCACAAGATATTCCAGAATGTGGGGGACTGGCCAGGTCCCCAGGACTCCAGAAACTCCAAGACCCACCCCCTTTGTAATTGTAAGCACCGCTTGACTTGCTAGCAGCAATTGTTAGGTGTGCAAGCAGACACGCAGTCCAGGCAGGGTCACAGGTCAAGCAGAGGCCTGCTTCTGCCTCAAGCCTGAACAAGACTACTTTACTAGTTTTGCCAACAACATGCCACCAAGAAACAGGTCAATTCCTGGTGTTCCAGTCTACTGGGATATTAAGACTTTGTAGCCACCCCCCTTTTCTCCTATCTGGCAAAACAGGTTCTCTCCCCCCGTCCCAAAATGTGTGTGTGGGGTGTGTGTGTGTGTGTGTGTGTGTGTGTTTTAATTCATACAGGCTTTTAGCTAAATGGGTTGGAAATTGGAAACTGAGTTAGAGAGAAAATGGTGTGGGTAACACTGAGGTTTGGGGATTCAGTATCACTGGGGAATCGATATTGATGAAGAAGCAGGAAGGGATCATACTGCAGCACAAAGGTAACTTGGCTAGAATCATAAAGTTAGGTACTGGTAGAATTTGAATGCTTTGTGTTTATAACTTGAAATGAGATTATACCCTTTTATTGTACTTTAAGTAGTATTTCTACATTTGGCATAGTTAAAACCAGAAAATGCACAAAAGGCTCAGATAACCAGAACATGTTAAGGATTACATGGTTTACACATGAACCCCTAATTTTCTTCAAACCTATTTTGTACCACTAGAATTGAGTTTCTATTCTAAACTGTCAGATGTTTTAGGAAAAGTATACAAAGGCCAAGATGACCCTGATTACTATGAACTAGTTGCAAATAGACAAAAAACGAGCAGAAAGTTGTTTAATCAGGATAGGTTTCTGTTTGAAGGAGAAAGGTTTAGTATACAGATTCACAACCCATAAAGGGGTTTGCAGGGCTTAGTGTCCATTGTGTTCCTGATTTATTGGGTTGTTTCTGTTACTAATTCATACTGTTTTCACATAATCTGGAAAGGTGGTGACAAAAGACAGCATTAAGGCGTGTATCCTGAGGACCCCTCAAGCTCTTGGCTTAATTTCTAATATGAATTCTAATAGACTCATAGATTGAGCAGAAAGTCATACAGTATGCACAGGACAGAAAAAGTGACAGGTAACAGCATTAGGATAAAGCCAGTACAGATATTTAAACAATTACAAGCAGGTCCAGGAAAGCACACAGGCAGATGACCTCAAAACAGCTGTGACACCCGATCCTATCGCTTCGTTCCTAGAGCTGCAATGAATGTTCATAATGCAGACTCTGAATCAAGAAAAGTTCTTTAATATTATACAGAGGATGTGGAAAAGCTGGAAAGATGTCTATTTCAAGATGGATTAAAAAAAATGGCAGAATCTACCTCAACACAGAGGTGTTAGGTGTCAAATTATAGGTATCGCACAATTTTGGGGACTTTTCCCTCAAATACTTAGAAAGCCTTTGTTGCCCAGTCGGTACTCCCCAAATTTTCCCAGGACAAACACCTGCGGGTACTCAGAGGCTGTTAGCTTCTCAACTGTACGCACTCTGCTCTGACCTCAAATGTTAGGCCCATGACAGCTAGGATGTCACTCTTGTGCCAGTCGAGGGCTGAAAAGAGCACACGATGACAGTATCTGCGGGGCTCCCAAGTGGGAAACCTAGGCCAGGCCCAGTCAGATTCGCTCTCTGAGGGGCACGTACCCGGGGCGGGCGGCGGGGCGTGGGGGGGGGGGGGGTGGGAACCGCCCACAGCGCAGGTGCCACAGCCCGGCGGGTCCCAGGATCCTGAGCGGCGGGAACCCGGGCGCTCAGCCCCCAGCAGGCTCCCGGGCGACTCCGCGCATGCGCCCTCAGACGTAGTGGCGACGTCCGTGGCGAATCGTCGCTCGTCGTGGAGTTGAGGAGGCAACGGCGTTTTCCCGCGCTTTTCCTGGGCGCCTCCGGTTAGATATTTTATTGGTATTAGTGTTGTTAGTATTTTCTCTTTCGAGCGCGGAAAGCGGGCTGCGAATTTGAAGTTTCCGTGAGTCTAACCCTCAAAACTTGGTCCTCGCTAACTTGGACAGCTCACTAAATTGGCTCTTTCTCCCACCTTGTGGAAAATTTGGAATTAGCTGCGCTTCTCGCTCTGCCTGAGAAGGGGCTCAGATTCCAAACTGTTTCCATCTCTTCTGCTACCCCTCGGCATATTGCCCTGCCGGAGGGAAAATAGGCCTCATAACTCCGGCCGCCTGGTGCCTATACCTGTGGAGACACCCTCAGCTGGGGCATTTGGGGTAAAGGTGTCAGAGCATTCTTGTCCACCCCTATGACCAAGGCAACATTCTTGACGGAATTTATCAGTTCATAAATGTGACCATCTTCCCTTGGTATATAATTGGTGTGTTACTATTATTTTATACAATATATGACTAATTTTGGTATATTCAGAATACTGCTGCCTAGTTTGGATTAGTAAAACTCCAGTAACAGTGAACACTATATTGAAAAATAACTTGTGTATTTATATGTTTTTACAAATGTTTGAAATAGAAGCGCAGCATTGAATAGTATTTATATTAATAGGTGAGTTGTTTAATTGGTGATAAAATCTGCTTTTATATAGATTTTCAGGCTTCATAATGTCAACTACTTGGATGACTTAGGTTAGTTTCCATTTAATACTATCAGATTACTACTCTTTTTTAGTCAAGGCAGCACAGGTAAAGAATCTGAGGAATCAGCATATATGAAAACCTAAAAACGTAACTTAAAATACTTTGCATTAAAGAATGCCTGAAATCAGTGCCTGGACTTTTATATCTTCCAAGTGTGAGAAGGGATACTAAAATATTCTAGCGAACTATGAATGGGTAATAAATTTGGATTTTTGTTTAGGTATTGAAGAATGGCAAAAAGCACTAATTTAATTTTTATTTATTTGTACTTTGTAAATGTTCCCAAACCGTTTTTTTCCATGAACATATATTTTTGACTTGTAAGTAAGATGTGGAACCACCTGTGTCTTTAACTTTTTCCTTAAAAAGTTTTTTCATGGCCTTGGTAGTGGTTTGCACAAAGAAGGAACCCAGTATTTTTGGGTGACTGAAATCAATATTATATATTTTTTATAATAAATACAAAAGCCTAATAAAAGGTACATTATTTTGTCTTAATAGAATAAAAACGTTTTACTTATCTATTTATTTAATTTTACTGCAATTTGACTTTTTCATTTACCCCTTTTTTGGATTCTTTTCAGCATCTGGAAACCTTATTATCTATTATGTCTTTGTGTGAAGACATGCTGCTTTGTAACTATCGCAAGTGTCGCATCAAACTCTCTGGTTATGCATGGGTCACTGCCTGCTCTCATATATTCTGTGATCAGCATGGCAGTGGTGAGTTTAGTCGTTCACCAGCTATCTGCCCTGCCTGCAACAGTACTCTTTCTGGAAAGCTAGATATTGTCCGCACAGAACTCAGTCCATCAGAGGAATATAAAGCCATGGTATTGGCGGGACTTCGACCAGAGATTGTGTTGGACATTAGCTCCCGAGCACTGGCCTTCTGGACGTATCAGGTTAGTGCTTAGACTAGTTTCTCTGGAGGGTATGATTTGAGGCACATGTGAAAGCTTCTAATGTTTTTCCTTCACTGTGTTTGTATTTATTTTTTAATGAATGTATGGAAAACTTTATTTTTAATAAATTTTCTTTTTTTCTAAAGTAATGTTTATTGTTGAAAATCCAAAAGGAAGAAAATAAAAACCATCCATAATTCCATCGCTCAGAGATAACCAGTGTTGATATATTTTTGTTTGTGTATTGCTAGACTTTTTCTTTTTTTGTGTGTTCTCTCTCTCTCTTTTTAAAATATTTATTTATTTACTTATTTGGCTACTCTGGGTCTTAGTTGCGGCACTCGGGATCTTCATTCCCGCATTCAGGATCTTCATTGCAGCATGCGGGATCTTTAGTTGTGGCATGCGGGCTCTTTAAGTTGTGGCATGTGGGATCTAATTCCCTGGGCCTGGGCCCCCTGCATTGGGAGTGTGGAGTCTTAACCGCTGGACCACCAGAGAAGTCCCTACTAGACTTTTTCTGTGTATAAATATATATATATGTATATATATAGTCTATATATTTTGTATATAGGCAAAATAATATATTTTGTCTGTACAAAAATAGGGTAATACCACAGACACTGTTTCAGTGGCCAGGTAAATTGATAATATATTATGCCTGTTATGAGTATTTTATTAAATATTTAAAAATTAGCCATTCTATAATCATAATTTTAATGGTCATATCATAATTTATTTCCATTATTAAAAAATGCTATGATGGGCCGTTATCATTAAATTCATATCCTTAATATTTTGCTAAGTTTAAGTTCCTGAAAGTGGATTTAAACATGTCAAAGTTTTAAAAATTGTAGTATTTTTAAGTTGCCCTCCAGTTAGATCATGTCAATTTGTGTTCCCTTAAGAAGTGTAGGAGGGTGCTTGTTCTCCATACTTTCTACTCACCAATTAGATATGGGCAAAATAGAATCTTATTGCTCTCTGAATATTCATTTCTTGGATGACTTTTAGATGAACACATTTTCTTGTATTTTTAATGTATTTTTCTTTTATTAATTGCCTGTTTCAGTTTGTTTTTTTAGTTGCTGTAGTTTTTTCCCTACTGATTTGAAAGAATTCTTTCTATACATATACTTAACTCAGATGTTGCTAGAAATTTTTTTTCCACTTATCTTTTATTAGTCTTCATTGATTTTTTTGACATACAGAAGTTTAAAATTTTTGTGTATTTGATGTAATTATAATTTTAATGATTGGATTGTATCATAATTTGTTTGTAAGTTATTTTAAAAAATGCTGTGATGAGCATTTTTATCTTCAAATTCACATACTTATTTCTTTCCCTTTTTGATTTCTGCCTTTGGCTCCTTCTTAGAAAGGCCTTCCTGTGGAGAACTTTTATCATGTCCTTGAGTATATTGTTATATCTTGTATATGCATTTATAATAATGCTTCTTAAAGGTTCTATTTGTCATCTGTCAAGTAAATATTATCATTATATTTTTCTAGGTAAGGTGTTCTTCTTACATGATCCTGTATCTTCTTATGCTTACCTTTGTTGTATTATTTATCCTGTATTGTAATTATTTATATATTTGTTCATCTTCTCTAGTTAGGAGAGCTCTTTAGGTCAAGTTTTGATTCCTGTATTTCTCTGGGTCCTCAGTGACCATCATTACTGGTCTTAAGTCTCAGTAAATACTTATTGACTGAATGAATAGACATTCTGTCTTAAAGTAGATTCCAATTTGGGGGGGTAGTATTGATTGAACATGAACATGTGGTATTGTTCTCATCTTTTCAGATGTGGTGGAAACCAGTGAATGAACTAGTAGCCAGAAATGATTTTTCTCTACTTCATTTATTCACTTTTTTTCCTATTAGTCATTCTCTCTCTCTCTCTCTCTCTCTCTCTCTGTCTCTCTGTCTCTCTGTCTCTCTCTCTCTCTCTCTCTCTCTCTCTATATATATATATATATATATATTCAACATATAGTTTTTTGAATGCCAGGAAACACTTATATCTCATGCACCATCTTAGGTGCTGGGTATACAGTAATGAACAATATATAAGGAGCTTCAAGGAGGCTACAGTTTAGTGGTGATAAAGATAAAGAAAAAACCCAAACATTTACAATACGTTTTTCATGCCGATAATGATAAGGGAAGTAGAAAGTGCTATGGGACCACACTATAGGGACAGGTAACCCAGACTTGGTAGAGTTACATCAAACTATATAGAATGGGCAAATTAAAAAATGGTTAAAAAAAAGAGTGGTCATATTTCACTTTCTGTCAATATTTAAAGGACAGTGAATCCAAAGATAAGCCAAAGTTGGTTTCTGTGTGTAGTAGTTGTCTATTGATGTATAACAAGTTTAGTGGCTTAAACAGCAAATTTAGTGGCCTAAAAACAAGACATGTTTATTATCTCAGTTTCTGTGGATCAAGAGTCTACACATGGGGGCTTCCGTGGTGGCGCAGTGGTTGAGAGTCCGCCTGCCGATGCAGGGGACACGGGTTCGTGCCCCGGTCTGGGAAGATCCCACGTGCCGCGGAGCAGCTAGGCCCGTAAGCCATGGCCGCTGAGCCTGTGCGTCCGGAGACTGTGCTCCGCACCAGGAGAGGCCAAACAGTGAGGCCCGCGTACCGCAAAAAAAAAAAAAAAAAAAAATGTAAAAATAAAAAAAAGAGTCTATGCATGGATTCTGCTCAGGGTCTCACAAGGCTGCAGTCGAGGTGTTGACAAGGGCTGCAGTTTCATCTGAATCTTGACTGGAGAAGGATCTGCTTTGAAGCTCATGTGGTTGTTGGCGGCATTCACTTTCTAATGAACTATCAGACTGAGGGCCTGTTTGTATTCTCTTTAATGGACTTTATTTATAAAGCAGTTTTAGGTTCACAGCAAATTTGAGAGGAATGTGCAGAGTTTTCCTATATGCCCTGTCCCCATACATGCACAGCCTCCCCATTATCAACATCCCCCACCAGAGTGGTACATTTGTTACAAATGATGAACTTACATTGACACATCACTATCACCCACCAAAGTCCATTGTTTATATTAGGATTCTCTCTTTGGGTTGTACATTCCATGAGTTTGGACAAATATATAATGATGTGTATGCAGTATGACAGTGTCATACAGAGTAGTTTCACGGCCCTAAAAATCCTCTGTGCACCACCTATTCATCTCTCCTTAACAGCAACTCCTGGCAACCACTGATAATTTTACTGTCTCCACAGTTTTGCCTTTTCCAGACTGTCATATAATTGGAATAATACAGTTTGTAACCTTTTCATATTGGCTTCTTTCACTTAACTAATATGAGTTTGTTTCCTCCATGTTTTTTCATGGCTTGATAGTGTTCATTTCTTTTTAGTGTTGAATTTTATTCCATTGTTAGATTTATCCATTCACCTGCTAAAGGACATCTTGATTGCTTCCATCTTTTGGTAATTATGAATAAAACTGCTACACATATCTGTATGCAGAACATATATTTTCAGCTCCTTTGGGTAAATACTAAAGAGCACAATTGCTGGATTGTATGGCAAGAGTATGTTTACTTTTGTAAGAAACTGCCGAACTATCTTCCTAAGTGGTGATAACATTTTGCATTCCTACTAGCAATGAAAGAGTTCCTTTTGCTGTACATCTTGACAGCATTTGGGGTTGTTAGTGTTCTGAATTTGTGTCATTCTAATAGGTATGTAGTCGTATCTCATTGTTTTAATTTACATTTCCCTGATTACATATGTGGAGCATCTTTTCATACACTTTTTTGTCATCGGTATATATTCTTCGGTGAAGTGTTTATTAAGGTCTTTGGCCCATTTTATAAAATTGGGTTGTTTTCTTATTGTTGAGTTTTAAGAGTTCTTAATCAGATGTGTCTTTTGAAAATATTTTGGACATATCTTACCAGATGTGTCTTTTGCAAATATTTTCTCTTAGTCTGTGGCTTGTCTTCTTATTCTCTTGACATTGTCTTTTGCAGAACAGAAATTTTTAATTTTAATGAAGTCTAGCTTGTCAGTTATTTCTTTTATAGTTTGTGCCTTTGGTATTTTATCTAAAAAGTCACCACCAAACCCAAGGTCATTTAGATTCTCTCCTATGTTAACTTATAGGAATTTTATAGTTTTGGTGTTTTACATTTAGATATGTAATCAGTTTCGAGTTAATTTTTGTGAAGGTTGTAAAGTCTATACTTAAAGTCACTGTGACCTCAATATTTTGCTGGCTATTGCCCAGAGGCTGCTCTTAGTTACTTGCCTGTTGGCCTTTCCAATTTGGCCTCTTGCTTCCACAAATCCAGCAAGAGAGAGAGTGTGCTAGTAAGACAAACCTTATATTCTTATGTAATGTACTGATGAAGCCATATCCTGTCATTTTTCCTGTATTCTAATCACAGGTCCTGTCCACACTCAGGGGGAGGATATAAGTACTAGGAGGCAGGGATAATTGGGGGCGGGCTATCTTATATAATCTGTTATCCACACTATGGATTACTTGAAATATAGTATTATATATTAGAAACCTTTGAGCTACGTGTCACTTGTTAAGGTTAAACAAATACCTTTCGGTAGTCTGTAGTGGTTTGAGAATATTCCTCCAGATTTTTTTTCTATGTATTTAGTGACATGGCGTATTATTTTCTATAATAACCATCCTATTGTACATCCTAATTGCTTCTTAACCTGGTTCTAAACTTTAAAGTAATAACATCTCAGTATGTGTGTCTTTCTTTTCTTTCTGTGTTTGTATCAATATAAAGTTAAAATATACAACTTTGCATTTATTACCTTAAATCTTTCTTTTCTGTCTTGGGACAGGTACACCAGGAGCGTCTCTATCAAGAATACAATTTCAGCAAGGCTGAGGGCCATCTGAAACAGTTGGAGAAGATATATACTCAGCAAATACAGAGCAAGGATATAGAATTGACCTCTATGAAAGGGGAGGTCACCTCCATGAAGAAAGTGCTAGAAGAATACAAGAAAAAGTTCACTGACATCTCTGAGAAACTTATGGAGAGAAATCGCCAGTATCAAAAGCTCCAAGGCCTCTATGATAGCCTTAGGCTACGAAATATCACTATTGCTAACCAAGATGGTACCCTTGAACCATCTATGATTGCACAGTCTGGTGTTTTTGGCTTCCCATTAGGTAAGAAATGACATGTAATATCCAATATCTGTTCTTTAAATCAGTGATTTTTCACACTGTGCCTTGCATAATTCCAAGCAGTTAGTGGAGACTCCAGAGACCTGGAGTAGTAGTAGGCTCTAAGTTCTTCATCTGCATGTCAACCTGCCCATCATTACTTTTATCTATTTTATTTGCTTACATTTAAGTTATATCTTCAATTTATTTGAACAGAGTAAATAATTCTAAAATTAAAGTTGCAAATTGCCACTTCAAATGAAAAGCTATTTAGTTGCAGTAATAATAATAATATTAGCTGACATTTAATGATTCCTTACTAAGTGCTAGAGACTATTATAACTTTACATGTATTTGTGTTATTTTCAAAACTTTATGAGGTAGGTGTTATTATCATCATTCTATTTTAGAGATGAGAAAACTGAGGAACATAAAGTTTAAGTAAATTGGTCAAGGTCACAGAGCTATCGTCAGAGCCCACACTCTTAAGTATTTGCTATCCTCTGAGAAGGCCAAGTTTTAGTTTCTTTCACGTGACAGTACTGACTGTACAGTTCTTAAGTTACTGTCGGTTGTTTGGTTTGTTTGTTCTTCTGTTTATTCATTCATACATTCATCAAATATTTACCAAACATGATTCATGTGCCAGGCTACTAGGCATAATCTTAGGCAATGAAGATATAAGGATTATCCAGATAGGATTCCTGCCCCATGGAAATGTACAGTCTAGCTTTTCTGCTTATTAGATGCCTTGTCAGATGCAATGAATCTCATATCTCTTCCTGAGTTCTCCCCTTTATACTACTCTTGATATAACAGAATCCAATAGTTTTTACTATGCTATTAATAAATTTTGGCACACAAAAAAATAAAAATCTTGAGCTGGATTTTTATAAAACCTCATTTTTTGAATTTTATTGTGGGGGAGGAGACGATGTCCCAGAAAAGGCATGAAGTAATGAGATGAAAAATATCAGATATGAGAATCGAAACAAAAATAAGTTTCTTCTTAATTTTCAGTTAATCATATAATTTAGTCAATCAAAGTATTATTGTTTGTGGGCATTATAGGTGTTCCTAGTTTTTCCTTGTCACGATCCACATTTATTTCAATTTCTTTCATTTTCACCAGTTCTTACCTGTTCCTCTTTTTGTGCACACTTACCTTTTTAATACTTTTACCTCTTGCTACCATTGTTGGCTTGAAGCAGATATAGTCAGCATTCTCCTTTAGTTATGTAACTAAAGCCAAGGATGCGTTCAGTGGAAGTTGTTAAATGCTTATTTTATTAGATCTATTGTACAATTTTTCTTAAGGCTATTCTAATTGATCTCGGGTCATAAATATGTGCCAGGTTTTCATGGTTGTCATATGTTTTCTAGAGTGTTTATGGAAATCCTAAAAAAAGATTTGTTCTTAAACAAAAGTTTACACACACACACACGAATACATATGTTATTCCTTTGATATAGATTAATAGATAATGAATGAAATTGTGGTACTATAAATTCTAGCTCTACTAAAGTATTTCATTGCGTTAAATTACTTTTGGTGATGAGATAATGGCTATCATTGGAAACTGCACACAGAAGAAGGTGTGGTATATATACTGTGGTCAGGGGAGGGGACTGTCATAGTCCTTTTCTTTATCCAAGATTTATGTTTTATCCATCTCATAGGAGTTGAGTTCTGTTACAATATTTATTGAATGACTTTGTCTTTTTGTTCCAAAAGATCTGTAAGGAAATAGATGCTTAAGTTCTTCCCTTATTTTTCTCCTAGGGAACAACTCCAGGTTTCCTTTGGACAGTACACCAGTTCGAAATCGGGGTGGTGGAGATGGAGATTTTCAGTTCAGACCATTTTTTGTGGGTTCTCCCACAGCACCTGAACCCACCAACAGCTTTTTTAGTTTTGCCTCCCCAAGTAATGAATTAGAGCAGCAGCAAGTCTCTAGCAGGGCCTTTAAAGTAAAAAGAATTTAGTTCACCTTACAGAATGTTTCTCTGTTTACTTTCAGTGATTTCATTTAGTAAATAATCTTTGTTTTAGATAGGAGTCACCACCCTCTCTGTGTTTGTATTGAGTCTTCGAAGTTGTCTTCACATTTTCAACTTATAAGAGATTCAGTGGCAGCGGTGGGTGGCTTTAGAATCAGGTTTCCTTTTCTGTTTCTATTCTTTAAGGTGTAAGCGTTTTATTAAACTCAATTTTAGGGTGAACTGTTGAGTTTTCACTGGTAGTGAAAAGCTTACAGTATTATTGGGTGTTTTGTAGATCACCATTTGTTTCTGTCTGGGGTATTTCTGAATAGGCCATGTTTTTAAACATACTATATAAGCACCTATGTTATATGGCTACATGTCACTTTGGGTTCTGGTATTTATACATACATGTATATGTATGTTCCTTTACATTGTTTTTTTGCTGCATTTGGCAGTATGTTTATGTGAAGATTTTGGTTTCAGGAAATAGTGAGTGAGCCTGTAGCTTGTTACTTGGGTGTGTACATTTATTTGTATATATTTAATGTATTTGCCCTTGTATTAACTTGTTTGGAGGTGTGCTTATGTCAGTGAATGAAGGTACAATTTGATGCATGTATGTTTAGTTCCTATTTCTATTTAAAAATAATTCACATTGATAAAGTTATTTTGTAAAGTTGACTTTTTGGCATTTATTTTAGAATAAAATTACTTTCTTTACCCTTTTGCTAGCTGTTGCCCTGGGTCTACTTATTTAGAAATGCACTTCTACTGCAGAAAACTTACCAATGTGTTGTTGATCTCAAGAGATTATACTAATTAAAATACTTTTAACGATTTATTCCTTGTTTTTCTTTATTAAATAGTGATCATTTCTGACTACTATCACAGGAAACTTATTTAAAATGTAGAGCCAAGAAAGAAATTTGAAGGACACTTTCAGTAACTTTACATCCTATTAGAGGCAAGACTTGAAAGTATACTGGTTGGGAGGAAGAAGATCAAGGTTCCAGTTTTTTTTTTTTTCCATTTGTTAGTTGTGCAAGTTTGAGTTTAAATTTCCTGGGCCTTTGTTTCTACATCTGTAAAGTGAGGGATTGAATTAAATTATCCTTACAGCCTTTTCTACCTCTTAGATTTTATGATTTATTGTTACTGGTTTGGGAGGAACTACAATGGAATTACCCTAAATTCCAAATTCCATTGTTTTTTAGGTAATAAAAGTCATACTGAAATCATTTGAGGATATTTTATATTTAGTTATTGCAGAAAGGCAAGTGAATGCCCTTGCTTTACATAATTTAATAGCAAGCAAGTAATGTTTTCTTCTTTAGGGGTATAGAATATAAAATCTCTTCAAAACTATTTTTTACTGAACCCCAAAGTTAAAATGGTGTCTGAGAAAGAGGATGAAAAAAATCTTGACTTAAAAGCTTAAAAACATTTTTCCCTATTTCATTGCTAATTACACAGATTTTATAGATTGCAGTTTTTTCTGCCCTATGAAGTTTTAAATTTTGTTAAAAAATGATTTGAAGAAATAATTTTTGTACATTCATGAGTTCTGCCCTGAATCTTTGCTTCTTCCTTTGTTAGGTTCACAGAATCAGTTTGAAGTGTGAGTAAGCTATAATTAAAACTAAAAGGTAAAGAAAAACTCTGGTGGACTATTACATGGTACTTAAAAAAAAGTTATTTAAGTGTTTAATACATTCATATGGTACGAATTCAAAAGGTACAAAAAAAATTCACAGAGTGAAAATTCTACCTTTCACCCCTATTCCCCAACCACTCACTTCCCCTTTCTGGAAGCAATTACTGTTCCCAGTGTCTTGTGTCTCTTTCAGAGATAGTCTATGTGGAAGCAAATACTTTTTTATGTAAAAATTATGTTTGGGAACTTCCCTGGTAGCACAGAGGTTAAGAATCCACCTGTGTCCACCTCGGGACACAGGTTCGAGCCCTGGTCCGAGAAGATCCTACGTGCTGCGTAGCAACTAAGCCCCTGTGCCACAGCTACCGAGGCTGCGCTCTAGATCCCGTGAGCCACAACTACTGAGCCCATGTGTCTAGAGCCCATGCTCCACAACAAGAGAAGCCACCGCAATGAGAAGCCCGCACACCGCAACGAAGAGCAGCCCCCACTCACTGCAGCTAGAGAAACCCACGTGCAGCAATGAAGACCCAACGCAGCCAAAAATAAATATATTCTTAAAAAATTTTTAATAAAAATTATGTTTGTTTTTGAATAGGTAATACATGTACATGATAAAACATTCAAAAGTGTACCCAGTGAAAAGAATGTTCTTTGCCTAGACAACCCTCAGTCCCCCTATTTCCCTCTCCAGAGACATTGTTTTTTTAAATACCCTTGGGGATAAAGCCTATCAATATATAAGCATTATTAGTGTACTAATACATATACTATTAGTGTATTAGTGATGGCTTTCTTTTTTTTTTGCGGTACGCGGCCTCTCACTGTTGTGGCCTCTCCCGCTGCGGATCACAGGCTCTGGACGCGCAGGCTCAGCGGCCATGGCTCACGGGCCCAGCCGCTCCGTGGACCGGGGCACGAGCCCGTGTCTCCTGCATCGGCAGGTGGACTCTCAACCACTGCGCCACCAGGGAAGCCCGTGATGGCTTTCTTAATACCATCCCAAGTGCAGTAGATTTATTAGGATAGTGTGTTCAAAATCATAAAATTCCTTATGTATAGAAAATCACTGTAAGGCCTGGAAAACATTCAGACAAGTTACCTTACCATTGTACTACATTTCCTGTAAAATTTTAAACTTAACAACACAGGCATCCACTGTCTCAGCTTGTTTTCTTTTTTGGGGTATTAAAATCTTGATATAAATAAATAGGAAGATACGAAACAATAATATGTATACACTCAATCTGAGAATATTTTGTTTACAGGATTTGGAAAAGAAACAAGTTTATGAATTCGAAAGTGATTGCAGACCATTTCCTTTGAGCTATAGGCATTGGGTTAATTAGGTTTGGAGCGACGCCCTTCTTTGAAAACCAGCTCAAAACCAGCTTCTTTGAAAACTCAGGCGCGGTAAGCCTCCAGAGCTCTAGATGTCGCTGTGGCTCCATGGTGGGGACGGGTATGCGTCTCTGTGGTTATAAAGTTGGGGGCGGAGAAGCTAAGGGTGTCTGGGAAATGATGGCTGAGGAAGAGGAAGAAGTCAAGGAGATTTTGCCGAAATTGCAGGTGAAGCCATAGATTAAACTCTGTCTTACTCGGGAGGAAGTAGAGAGCCCAGTTTATGCAGTGCCTTCGAATTTCTTGACATATACCCGCCGCTGGTGTCTGTGTGGTTACTATAACAACTCCCGAAGGTGCAGCCGCAGCTGGCTAGGGGAGGTCCCGGGCAGGGGACGGGCGCAGCCAGTTTGTTGGGACCGCCTGCTGCTGACCTGACTGCACTCAATTTCAGACCTGTTGGGAAGAGGATTTATTGCTAACTTTATTCCTGTACATTCTTGGGAATTTTTTTTCCCCTCAATTCACTCACAACAAATAGCATACACTTGTGTTTGGCAGATCTGCAGGAGCTGTTACCTATCGCATGTTGTTTTGATCCCCACAAAGACCAGTACTTTTATGCTTTCAAATTGGCAGCGATCACAGTAGTGGCTTGCACCGCGTGTATTCTGGTTACTCCCCTTAGAACTTCACAGTTTTGATTTTTTGCACACTGTGCAATTCCAGTTTGGGGCCTGGGGCAGAAGTCTCCAGACTTCACCCAGTCCACAGTTGACTGTGGTGAGTGGGACAGTCTTTTGTACTTGGTAGGTAGGAGCTAACTAATTGATTGGTTCTTTACCTTTCTTTTGATGACCGAAGATTTTTCTTAAACCTCAGAAACTGAGTTTTTTGTGTTCTAAGACAGCCTGAAATTTAAACATTAGGCTTATGACAGGCTTGTAACTTTCTTAAAGGCTTCTACTGCAAAAGTTTAAACATTGGTGAGATTTCTTTGTTTCCTGAGCAGATTAAAATAATAACGCTTTTTAGAGTGTGAGCTTTATTTCACATCCAGTTGACTTTGATTACTTTAATTTTTTTTTTTTTTTTTTTCGGTACGCGGGCCTCTCACTGCTGTGGCCTCTCCCACTGCGGAGCACAGGCTCCGGACGCGCAGGCCCAGTGACCATGGCTCACGGGCCCAGCCGCCCCACGGCACGTGGGATCTTCCCGGTCCGGGGTACGAACCCGTGTCCCTGGCATCGGCAGGCGGACTCTCAACCACTGCGCCACCAGGGAAGCCCTAATTAATTTAATTTTATTCACTAGTGTGACTGACTGAAATCAGAGATTCTCAATCCTGGCTCCATATTACAAACATTGTTTGTGTATGTATGTTTGTATATATGTAGAGAAAAACCTGAAAAGGTTAACTAAGCAGTGGTTATCTCTGAGGTTATTGGGATAATTATGAGGAATTTTTAACCTTTTCTATTTTACATGTACCTATTTGAATTTTAACAACTAATATATATTGATTTTTGCCATGAGAAAAAAGTTATTAAAAACGTTCACTCTAGGAAAACAAACCAACAACAAAATCAAACAATTTCTTACATGTTTGCTATAACAACTAAAAACAAACAATAAGACCTTTTCTATAATTCTTAATGTGTAGCTGTGCTGATTGCAGGATAAAAGGAAATGGGTTGTAGTATTTGCTGAGAGCTGTCTTTTCCTGCTTTGATTTGTGGTAGATGCCCTAAGCAGCTAGGTAGAGGATACCTGGCGTATCTTGGGGGTGAGTGGGGAAGGTGCAGGGATGGAATAGGAGAATGCAGTAGAGAGAGGAAAAGGATGGTGATGTTGCTATTCATAGGAATGGTGGTAAACTTTATTTCATTGTTACAGACATTTTAAGTTAGAAGGAATATATAAAACGATTTTTCTCAAAGTGTGTTTTACAGATCATTTTTATTAAAGTCATGCAGGGTGCTTGTTAAAATGCAGCATTTTGGTTTCTGCTAAAACCACTAACATCAGAATGTCTGTAGCCTGGGTCCTGGAAATAATACACGCAACACAACTTGAAAAGCACTGCTGCAGAAAGTGATAGTCTAACTTCTCCATTCTGGGTAGGATTTTAAATTAAGTAGAGTACATAAGTATTTGTTAGAGAAAGGGAGATTCATTGATTTATTTAATGAGAGCCTATCATGTCCCACACCCTCTGGTAGTGCTCAGGTATAGCTCTAAACAAAACCGATTAAGATACTCCCATCATGGAGCTTACATTCCAGTGGTGGAGATAGACAGTGGATGATTAATGAATAGGCCACATAATTTCAAATAAGTACCATGAAGGAAGGTAAGAGTGTGATTTAACAGTGGGGCGGAGGAGGAAAGGGTTACTTTAGTTTGGGTAGTCAGGGAGAGCCTCTCTGAAAAATTGATATTTGAACTGAGATCTAAATAATGATGAGAAATGAGCCATGCAAAGGTCAGGAGAAAGAATGTCCAGGCAGAGGGAAAAGCTAAGGATTAGGCTTAGTGGATTTGAGGAACTAGATGAAAGCCAGTGTGGCTTGAGAATTGTAGGAGAGTGATAAGAAGTCTGTGTCAGGATGAATGGTGGGAGGTCAGATCTTACAGTCTTCTAGGCCGTAATAAGGAGTTGGATTTTATTCTGTCTGCAGTGGGAAACTATCTGAGTGTTGTGACATGAGGTACAATTCTGTAAGGCCACTCCAGCTATAGTGAGGAGAATGGGAAAGAGTAGAAGCAGGATGACCAGTTAAGAAGCTATTGAAATGGTCCAGGCAAGTAATGAGGATAGTCATAGAGAGATGGAGACAGGTGGATGGATTTGGGATGTGATGTGGAGGTGGTTGATAAGACTTGGTAGGATTAGATTATACCTTTCTGCTGCTGTTTTGTTTTAGGAAAAGACTAGATAATGGAAAAGCTTTGACTGGTGTCCCAGGAAGACTCAGAGATAGAGATATTTAAAAGAGGAAAGAGAACATTTACTTGGAAAGAATGCAAGAGAGCCAGAAGGTGACTTGACAAAAATAAAACAAACAAAAGCACAAGTGTTTAAAGAATCAAAACTCTGTAAAAAAAATACCAAGGTTATCAAGCTTAAATTGGTCTGTTTGTTGTGGAAAACGACTCTTACTTGTTTGTCATATTCACAGTGGTTATGTATTTTCAGACACCGACATAGGAATAATCAGGGGTAAGGTATTGTTTTTGTTAGGAAGTCCAGTTTTAAAAAGGTAAATTTCGAAGTTTTACACTTTGGGGACCAGTACCAGATAGGATGATCTTATTAACTTTGTTTTATCTCAAGTTGCAAAGCGTTTCCTCCCTCCTGACTATGGTATGTGAAGTGCTTAGTCATTTTGGAAGCTCTGCTGGATCTTGGAGGAGAGAAGTATCATGACGATGCAGACTGGCTTGGGACAGTGTGAGAGTGGGCTGGGCTACTTTCCTTCACGATCTGTGGTATTTTGATAGACCTGTCCACCTGCCTCTTGTGTCATTCCTAGGTAAGGTAGAGAATCAGCATTTCCAGGCCAAAAGCTGGTATGGCTCGCCAATCTCAAGTTTACTTGTCTGGTATTCTCTGCACTTAATGCTACCATTCTTATACTTCCTAGGAACTGGTGGATCGGCTCTATTCATTTCGAGAGTGCTATTTCGAGACACACAGTGTTGAGGATGCTGGGAGGAAGCAACAGGATGTGCGGGAGGAGATGGAGAAGACCCTGCAGCAGATGGAGGAAGTAATGGGTATGAGTCCCAAAAGAACACGCCAACCCCTGGTCCCTCACTGAAATGTGATGTAGTTTTGCTCTCTCTGTAGATTCTTTGGTATCCTATTTGTGGCTGCCACAAGATGGTACAACAATATTTCTTCTAAAGGTGCCTGTGCAAGGATGGCAACCTTTCAGCTCTCTAAACTCCATTTCCCAGTGCCATGAAATAAAAAAGAGCATGCTTGTTGCTTGATTACTATTGCAGTAATCTTCTTAACTGACCTTTCTGCCTCTAATTTCTTTTACTTCCAAATCAACTTAAATAATGACCATGGCCATTATGTTTCTAAATCCTTACTTCATGCATTTACTCTCATTCCTTGTCTGCCTGTCTGCTCAAGTATCTTCAAAGATTCCTACTTTTGACGGATTGAAGTCCAGACCTCTTCACTTGGTATTCAAGTCTCCATTGGGTGACTTTTTTTTTCCTACCCTTATCTCTGACTACCTACTTACAAAGGAACTTCTTGTTTCATTCAGGTTGAACCATCCATTCTCCCACTAACATGCCACATGTATTTCTGCCTCTTTGTTTACATCATTTTTCTCCCTGGAGTGTCTTGTCTTTTCTCCTTTTCACTTTGTAAAGTCCATTCATTGGGTGTATGCCATCTGCTCCTTGTCATTGTTTTTTTGATTTTCCATGGATATGCATTGTCCTCTCCACTAGATTGTAAGCCCCTCAAAGGTAGGGATAATGCTTTCTTTGGTACCCTGTTTTCTAACAGTACACTGCATGTGGTAGGTTTTCAATAAATGATTTGTTCATGAAGGTTTTCTCAATTATTTCATTCCTAGAACTGGCATGGGGTTATTCCTTGAGAGAGTACTCTAGTCTTACCTGTAAGACTGCCTGGGTTTCCACTTTCCTTTCCACTTTTCTTTTCCCTTCTTCCTAGGTTCTGTCCAGGGCAAGGCACAGGTTCTGATGCTAACTGGGAAGGCACTGAATGTGACTCCTAACTATAGCCCTAAGGCTGAGGAGCTTCTGTCAAAGGCTGTGAAGCTGGAGCCCAAGCTGGTGGAAGCCTGGAACCAGCTGGGTGAGGTGTACTGGAAAAAAGGGGATGTTGCAGCTGCCCACACCTGCTTCTCAGGAGCTCTCACCCATGTGAGCCACCCACTATGCCCTTGGAAAACACAGATGGGAAGGATGGGATTTCTTTGGTTCTGTGAGTTTCCCTAGATCATGAATACCAGAGTAGAAGTGTACTGGAACTAGGAGAACAGAATCAGAAGTGGGGGAAACAGGGACAGGGGACTGAGAAAGGAAGAAGATGATGGGATCAGGTTCAGGGGTAGATGAGAAGTGAAGAAAAGTTAGCAGCCAAGTTGGTCCTCTAAATGGGGGTCTAAGACACAGATGGCAGTAAGAATTAAGATGAAAAATTAAAATAAGATTGAGATAGAGTAGATCTGGAAAGGGGAACTAGAATCACAAAGGTTGAATATACGCCTTCTGCATTTGCAGTGCAAGAACAAAGTCTCCCTTCAAAACCTGTCAATGGTGCTTCGCCAACTGCGGACTGACTCTGGAGATGAACATTCTCGCCATGTCATGGACAGTGTCCGACAGGCTAAGTTGGCTGTGCAGATGGACATCCTTGATGGCCGCTCTTGGTGTGAGTGCTCTCAAAAGATCTCCGGCAAGTTTCTAGAGCAGTGGTTCTCAACTGTGGCTGCACACCAGAATCATCTGGAGCCCATCTATTGAGTCTGACTCCAATAAGTGTGAAGCCAGGGCATCTTTGCTTTGAAGAAACGCGGAAGATATTTTGATGAACCACTATTCTAGGAACTCTTGGACCTTTTCATCCAAGAGAGGAGGCTTATGTTTCCATATAAGCAAGGCAGGGCTTTTGTGCAGTCTGTTGTAGTTTCTCCTTTGTGTCCATGTTTGCCTCTTTATCCCAGTGGAATTTTGGGTATACTTGTAAGTTTAGTGTCATCAATGGTTTGTTTCAGACGTGGGGCCTTTCATATAGACTTTTGAGGGTAACCAAAATATTTATAGTTTGAACTTGAGCTCTGAGATGATCCATCATTGAGTTTCTTAGTTTTTTTCTCTTCCCCCACAACCCCCTTAGGTGGGACAGGATGGCTAGAGTGGGTTGGAGTTGGGTATTTCTCTTCCTTAGGTCAGTTACCCTCTGATAACTGATAGCAGGTTAGACTCTGGTTAATTAGTTTCTCCTGAGGGCAGGCCTTGTTAAGAATGGAGTGCTTGGGAGTTCCCTGGTAGGCTAGTGGTTAAGATCACAGGCTTTCATTGCCATGGCCTGGGTTCAATCCCTGATCGGGGAACTGAGATCCCATAAGCCATGTGATGTGGCCAAAAAACCCCACAAAAACAAGAAGAAGAAGAGAGTGTTCTGGCATATTTCAAAAAAGTTCCTTTGCCCCCTCCCTCTGCTGGAAATATGAGGGTGTTCTTCTCTGATATTTGCTGTGGGAATCTGGTTGAGTTCCTGGAGGTAAATCTCACAATATTGTGGGGACTCCCTTGTGACTGGGACCCCTGGGCTTGTCCACACTGAGCCTCCAGAATTCGTCAATTTCAGTTCAGGTTTTCCTACCCCAGCAGTGTTCCTGTGGTAGCTCATAAGTTTCTGCTCTGCTAAGCCATAACTCCCTGTATTCACCTGTCTCTCCAATTTTGGGGGCAGCAGTTTGCCTTGTGTTATCCCCTTTCTTATGCATCCAAGAAGAGTTGTGGATTTTTTAGTCTGTTTGGCCTTTTCCTTGTTAGGATTGAGTGGCGACTTCAAGCTCCTTACATGCGGAACCCTGTGTTTCTCTTTCAGATATTCTGGGGAATGCGTACCTTTCTCTTTACTTTAATACTGGCCAGAACCCTAAGATCTCCCAGCAAGCCCTCAGTGCCTATGCCCAAGCAGTAAGTATTTATGGTCACCCAGGCAAGATATATAGAGGCAGCAGCAGAAACAAGAGTGTTGTTCAGTCTTCCTCGTGGCTTTTTAGCAAGACGCACGGGCAGTGTTCGCTGGCGTCCAGTGTGCGTAGTTTCGCAAAGCTGGTTGTGCAAAGGTGATGTATCTCTTCCTATAACTTGAGTATTAGCAGCCACTTGCAGTGTGTGCCTCAGTGCTAGGTAGCTCCTTGAGCTGTTTGGATTTCGTACAGGCGCGCATAACCAAACCACAGAGCCCACGCCAACATGTTCATCTCTTTAATATGTTCTGTGTGAAAATAATGCTTGTTAATATTCGTGTACATTTTTAAAGAAAAATAAAAACCCTAATACTTAAGTATAAATTAAGCAGTATCCCCAGGTTCACCATTAGATAGTATGGCTCTGGACTTCCCACAGACTAAAATGGAAAACAGCATGTAGCCCATTCCATGTTGTAGCCTAGGGATTAATTCGCTGGAGCTCATGCTTTGCCTTAGCTTTCAGGCTATGTTTATATCTATCGATAGCCACTTGCAGGGGGATTTCCTTCAGGCCTTGAGTGCCTGACTGCTCGCTGTTACAAGGTTTACATTGACCTTTTGAGCACTTTTTATATAGGCTTCATATTCACTTTCTTTTGTTTTCTCTTGACTTGGAGACTTGCTTTTTAACTTACCATTATTTATTTTGCTCTGACTGGCAGAATAAGGAATATAGCTACCTTATATTCATGTTTGCAGTTTAGGAACTGTTCTTTTTTCACCATCCCACAGGAACTTTATTTTTCACAGAGCTGAAGTGCAAAACACAGATAACCATTTTTAATAAGCACAGTCAAATTTTTAACCACAAGACGTCTACAAGAATTATAGCTTTAAAAAATACAACCAATTTTTATATTTCAAAAATAGCTCAACTCAGATTAATTTCTTAAAAAGTACACTTCTCATACTATTTGTTTGGCATTACCCTGGTTGAACTCTGATGCAGCCATAATCGGGAGCTGTGGGCACACAATCGTGCTCTTGCCCTCACTGCTGTGCCGATGAGTACAGCTCAACTGGTGGGACTCACACTCATGACAGAGAAGTGTGCAGTAATAAAATGGCATTTTAAGAAATGACAGATATGACTTCCTCACACACTATGCTTCTCGCTGTAGTCTTAATGGTGGCATTTAACTCAACCTGTATAGCCAGTGGGGTTGTTCTTTTTTTCAATCAGGGAAATTTTCAGGCTGAGGAACTATATTTTACTCTAATTTCTTAATCTGGTAAACGTTTACATTTTAAAGCATGATGTACTACCTTAAAATTTTGTTTGGCTTCTGCTGAACAGTTGCTTTGAACTCTTAATTTCTTCATCAGTCCTGCATTTTTAAACATAGTTGAACCAACCATTTAAACAATTTAATTCATGTTGTTTGTGCTTTTGCAGTGTGCCAGGCAATGAATAGAATTAAAAAAATGAAGTGATCATAGCCATGAACATCACCAGCAGTTTCTTCATAACATATTTGTCTGCACTGTCATGTGGTTTCTGGCCCTGTATTGAAATTGGAGAATCAGAATTTGGCTTTCACTGTGTGTTTTAAGGGAGCTTGGATGTAGATGTTTGTATCTGGAGCCAGGCTCATGGGCAGAGGAAATGCATTAAATTGACATCATTTCTTTCCTAGGCTTTCCTCATTTATACCAGCATCTTATTGATTAAAATAAATTTTTTATCAGTTTTTTTTTTTTTTTTTTTTTTTTAGTATTGTAGTTTTTACTGGAAAAAATTCACATGTAAGTGGATCTATGCAGTTCAAACCTGTATTGGTCAAGGGTTTTTTTTCTTTCATCTTTATTGGAATATATCTGCTTTACAATGTTGTATTAGTTTCTGCTATACAACAGAATGAATCAGCTATATGTATACATATATCCCCATGTCCCCTCCCTCTTGAGCCTGCCTCCCACCCTCCCTATCCCACCCCTCTAGGTGGTCACAAAGCACTGAGCTGATCTCCCTGTGCTATGCAGCAGCTTCCCGCTAGCCATCCATTTTACGTTTGGTAGTGTATGTATGTCCACGCCACTCTCTCACTTCATCCCAGCTTCCCTTCCCCGCCCCGTGTCCTCAAGTCCATTCTCTACGTCTCCATCTTTATTCCTGCCCTGCCACTAGGTTCATCCATACCGGTTTTTTAGATTCCACATATATGCATTAGCGTAGGGTATTTGTTTTTCTCTTTCTGACTTACTTCACTCTGTATGACAGACTTATTTATTTATTTATTTGGTTGCGCCAGGTCCTAACTGCAGCTCGTGGGCTCCTTAGTTGCAGCATGTGAACTCTTAGTTGCAGCATGCATGTGGATTTAGTTCCCTGACCAGGGATTGAACCTGGGCCCCCTGCATTGGGAGCACGGAGTCTTAACCACTGAGCCACCGGGGAAGTCCCTTTATCAGATGTTAATCACATATTTCTTCTATTTTTATACTACTGCATGGATAAATTATAATCATATTTTAAAGTTTCATGCAAATACGAAACCCTTTCATCCTTGAGGTTTCAGGGATTGAGTAGTATGTGCCACACAAGCAGTTACTGTATAACAGTGTGGGTATAGGAAACTTTTTTTTTTTTAATTTATTTTATTTTTGGCTGCGTTGGGTCTTTGTTGCCATGTGTGGGTTTTTCTCTAGTTATGGCAAGCGGGGGCTACTCTTCGTTGTGGTGCGCAGGCTTCTCATTGCGGTGCCTTCTCTTGTTGCGGAGCACGGGCTCTCAGTGCACGGGCTCCAGTAGTTGTGGCACGTGGGCTCAATAGTTGTGGCTTGCGGGCTCTAGAGTGCAGGCTCAGTAGTTGTGGTGCATGGGTTTAGTTGCTCCGTGGCATGTGGTATCTTCCCGGACCAGGGATCGAACGCATGTTCCCTGCATTGGCAGACGGATTCTTAACCACTGCGCCACCAGGGAAGCCCTGGGAAACATTTTGACAAGCAAGAAACTTAAATTTTTCCAGGGTAAGGAGGTTTAAGACATGCTGTGCATGGCCATCCTTAAGACTGCGACAAGAACCACTGATGATCTTTTTTTTTTTTTTTTTTTTTTGATTCTGATGATCTTTTTATCCCACTATAGGAGAAGGTTGACAGGACAGCTTCCAGCAATCCTGATCTTCATTTGAACAGGGCAACGGTAAAAAAAAAAAAAAAAAAAAAATCATTTGTGTGGGGGAGTGGTCATCTGAAGGTAAAATACATAAGATATCTAGGTCTTAGCCTGTGAGGATGACTGAGTATTCACAGGGACAAGGTTGGGTACAAACTGTGAGAGGAAAGCCAAATTATTTCTGGGAAAAGCTAGCTTAGTTTGACTAAAGTATCTGGAGGGAAAGGAAAAGGGGCTGAGTTGGTGGGAGGGTAAATAGAGGATGGGGGACACAGTTCAGAAGACTTTCCTGAAGTGTTCATTGTAAACTGTTAAAAATAAAAATAGAATCACCCAATATATACAACTTAACTGTTGTAGAGTTTGGAAGTTAGCTTCTTTGAAATGATTCCATCTTTGGGGTTGTGATCACCTTGGCCAGGATGTAAGGTGTTTACTGGCTCTTCAGGCTGTTCATCTGTAGAAGAGGAAGACAGCTGGGAAGGAAAACAGTTTCTTTCTCTAGATTCCTAGCCCACTGTGCTATTACTAATCTCTCCCCAGCCCCTCCCCCCACCCCACGGATAGTTTGTGTTGAACACACTTAATAATTGGGAGGTTTTTTGGTTACTTCTTGTGCAGTTACATAAATATGAAGAGAATTATGGGGAGGCCCTGGAAGGCTTTTCTCGGGCTGCAGCACTGGACCCTGCCTGGCCAGAGCCCCAGCAGCGAGAGCAGCAACTCCTGGATTTCCTGAATAGATTAACCAGCCTCCTTGAGAGCAAGGTAGAGATGTCTAAATGCTGAATTCTGCTTTTTTATTCTGCTGTAGGCCAATAAAATAAGAATAAAGTAGGCCTCGGTAGTAGTGACCCTATAGAAGTGGGTAGGTGGGAGGGGAGGACTAGACTCTCAAGGAGAGTGACTAGTTCCCAGCTTCTTTTTTTAACGTCCTTATTGGAGTACAATTGTTTTACAATAGTGTGTTAGTTTCTGCTTTATAACAAAGTGAATCAGCTATACATATACATATATGCCCATATCTCTTCCCTCTTGCATCTCCCTCCCTCCCACCCTCCCCATCAGTTCCCAGCTTCTTACCTATTTCCTTTTCCTTTGCAGGGGAAGGTGAAGACCAGAAAGTTACAGAGCATGCTGGGAAGCTTGCGCCCAGCCCATCTAGGCCCTTGTGGAGATGGGCACTATCAGTCAGCCTCTGGGCAGAAGGTGACCCTGGAGCGCAAGCCCCTGAGTGCTCTGCAGCCTGGTGTAAATAGTGGAGCTGTGGTCCTGGGAAAGGTGGTGTTCAGCCTTACTACGGAGGAGAAAGTCCCCTTGTGAGTTTCTGTTGCCTTTTCTCTTTTTCATCCTTTTAAACTAGTTGCTCTTATTTCCTGGCCTTTCTCTAAAAGTTGAGGACATTGTTCGTGGTCAGAGATTAGTGAGTTCTGCTTCCCTTCTGTGACTGTCTTCCCTTCTGTGAGCAAGTATTGTTTAGGTGATATCTAACAATCTCTATAGATTCTGTCACCGTCCATTTTTTCCCTGAGCTTGGTGTTCTGTGGACTCCTATATTCGAAGCTGAAATTTGACAGCTACTTTTTTTTTATGAGACAGATGGAAACCTTAAAATTCTCCTACCTCTTTGTGTTTTCATGATCATAGAGGCACAAAGAGGAAGAATTCTAAGTCCTGTTTGGACTTAGGTATGCCTAAGCAGTTCTGGAAGGTGAGCTTTGAGTTTGAATTTATGGCCTGATGGAGAGATTCTCTCAGATGTTATTCAAAAAATATTCATTGAGCATCTGCTATGTGTGTTGTAGGGAGTTAAAAAAAAAATGTAACACACCCAAATGAAGGGTGCTTATAGTCTAGCAGAGGAAATGAGTTAAAAATATTCATTTAGAAAATTTTTAACTCTTAAAAAATGAGGGTTTGATCAGTATCATCATTCCTTGGTCCTTCACTCACTTCCCAATCCCTGGTTGACTAGTTTCCTTTTCCTGTTTTCTACTGAATTTTTTTTGTTTCTGGGATCACCAGTGTTTGATCCAGTAGCTTCTACTGGAAGCACTCTGATTTCTCTGTCACTGTTCCATTTCATATCCCTTCTGCTCCATTCAAACTAAAATATAACTCCCATTGTATGCCTGATATTCCTCCATGGCATTTTCATGGTATATGAATTTGAACAATTGAAGAGCAAGAAGATAGTTGAGAAAAGTTTAGTTACTAGAGCAGACCCTAGAGTTAAGAGGAATGAGAAAGAAATATAGACAAAGGTAGGGTTTTAGGGGCCCTTGAGAACAAATATTTTGCTACTTCTCTTTTTATGTGCAATTTCTAAACGTTAAGGTCTAGGAGGACTCTGTTTTTGTTCCTTTCCTCTTTTCTCTCTATATCAGGATGGCGAGTAGATGCCAACTTTGATCACTTGGCAGTGGCTGCATGATTTACTGTAAAGAAGGATTCTGAGGCTTTGACTGGTTTCACCAGGAGAATGCTGTGCTTGATTTGCAGTGTTTGCTGTGAATTTGGGCGTGCCAAGTGATGGCATGAGCATCGATTCCTCACCATCTCACTTATAGGTCATCTCATTTGGTGACGTCATACAAACCCAAGTCTTTGGCTGCCTCTTCTATGCTCACAGGTCTAGCTCCAGCCCAGGGCTCATTTCCAACTTTCGGATTCCTATATCTAGCTGCCTCTGGGCTATAATAAGAAACCTCTAACTCAGTATGTTCAGAATTACTCACCTCATCTTTCTCTGGCAACCTGTTTGTCCTCCCTGAATTCCTTTTCAATCAATGGTACCACCTCTACTCAGTCACTTAATTAAGACTTTTGGAAGTTGTTCTAGACTTCTCCATTCTCTTGTTTTGAGGCAATCACCAAGTCCAATAGATATACCTTTTAGTCCCTACTTTCCTGTCTTTACTAATTTAATAAAGCCTCTTAACACATCAACAGACAAGTCTCCCTGTTCCCTGTTTTTCCTCCAGTGTTCCACAGTACAGAGAAATATTTCCCAGATGCAGATCTGACCATTGCTATTTCTTGTTTAAAATCTCTTACTGGTACTGTGTAGCTTTTAGGATGAAGTTTTAACTCTTTAGCTTAACACCCAAAACCTTTATGATTTTCTCCCTGCCTCCCCGTGTCCATTATCTTCGTCACTTTAACGCTTGTACCTTTTGTCCCAACCTTGGGATTATTTTGTAGGTTTCAGAACAGCTATTTTCATGCCTCTGTGTTTTTACACACAGTTACTATGCCTGGATAATCTTTTTGCTGCTTCTTGATATAGATTACATTTTTCCCCCAACATTTTATTATAAAAGTTCTCAAACATACAGCGAAATTGAAAGAATCTTACAGTGAACATTTGTGTACCTATAGTCTACTATTAATATTTTATTATACTTAGTTTATCACAGATCTATTTATTCCCCTATTCATCTGTTGGTCTCTCTTATTCTTGGTCCATTTCAAAGTAAATGGCAGACATTAGTATACTTTCCTCTAAATACTTCAGCATGCAGTCATTAAGTAGAGTTCAATATTTGTTCATAATTTTATTCTTTTTATGTAAAACTTACATACAATGAAATGTACAGATCTTAGTGCATATTTTCTAAGTTTTGACAAATGCATACACCCATATAACCTAAACACCTATAGAGAACATTACCACCACCTCAGTTCTCTTATGTTCCTTCCCAGTCAAGCCATATCCCCTTCCCTTAGAGATTTTTTATTTCCACTGAGGATTAGTTCTCCTGTTTTAACCCAGGCAGTTTTTCATTCTTTAAGATTCAGTTTGAGGATCTCCTCTTCACGGAAACCTTCCTGGCTTTCCATTGATTTAGACATTTCTCCTCTGGGCTCCCACAGCCCAACCTTTGGCTTCACTGAATTCATCACAAGCAAAAAGCTATTCTGGCACCTATTGCAGTTGTACTGTCAGTGATGGTCTAATTGTCTGAAACCCACTAGACTAATAAGCTCGCTCACAGTGCCTGACACATGATAGGTATTCAGTGAAAGTTTGTGGAATTAAATTAAATTGACAGTAATGGTTAGCGAGTTTGATGAAGGTTGTGATAGTTAAATTGATAGAGCAGGAATACTGTTCCGCTGCAACATTTCGAACTAGTTCATTATTAAGATTTGTTGAATGTGTCCCAAGTTCTTAGAAAAGTGACAGATTGATGAGTCTTGTGCATGTTCTCTAAAGATACATATCTAAGACAAATGAGCCCTCAGATGTACATAGTGAATGATAGTACCTGTCATAGGAGTTCTAAATAAGTAACTAAGAAAGCTTTTTTTTTTTTCTCTCTCTTCTCTCTCTTAACCCATCTTAACCTGGCAGTACATTTGGCCTGGTAGATTCAGATGGACCTTGCTGTGCAGTGATGGTATATAATATGGTGCAGAGCTGGGGAGTGCTCATTGGGGACTCTGTAGCCATCCCTGAGCCTAACCTTCGGCTTCACCGAATTCAGCACAAGGAAAAGGTGAGTGATGGCTAGGATTCTTTCTCACCTCATAGGCTCTCAAAGTGGGGCACGTTTACCTCTTTTAAAAAATATACATAAAATAATGCATATATATGTGTGTGTGTGTTGTACGATATCCTATATTTACACACGTATATGTAATTTATTTTTTACTAATAGTTTTACTAAAAAGTAATTTTTTTTGTTTTTTGTTTTGTTTTTCTTTACTAAAAAACTACTAGTAAACAAAAAGAATTTAAAAAATGGACTGAACAGAGAAAGACAAATACATATGATATCACTTACATGTGAAATCTTAAAAAGCCAAACTGTGAAAACAGAGAGTAGAATGGTGATTATCCTGGGATGGTGGAATTGGGGAGATGTTGTTTAAAGATATAAACTTGCAACCAGTAGGTAAATAAGTCCTGGAGATCTAATGCACAGCATAGTGATTATAGACAACAATATGGTATTATAAACTTCAAAGTTGCCAAGAGACTAGATCTTAATTGTTCCCACCATAAAAATGAAATGATAATTATGTGATGTGATAGAGATGTTAGCTAATGTAATGGTGGTAATCATATTGCAATATATAAATATATCAAATTAACATGTTGATTAATACCTTAAACTTACATAATGTTATATGCCAATTATTTCAATAAAAATAAATTTTAAAAAATGGACTAAAATATTGTCAGTCAGATGTTATTACTGTTAACAGTTTGGTATGTAAACCTCCAGTCTTTTCATAAATTTATGTACACATTTGTATGTATATTTTTAATTATGAGTGGAGTATTATATGCAAATGTTTGTGAACATTTCCTGTGGTTTTCCATATTCTGCAACATTGTTTTGAATTAACACATAGAGGTGGTGATGAAGATGATGATGATAGTTAAAATTTACTGACTGCTAGACACTGTGCAAAGAGTTTTATGGCCTGCATTGGACCATTTAATCCTTACAAAACTCTACAAGAGCAGATATTTAACCGCTTTTTCCCCATTTAGATTAAGGGTCAGTCAGCAAACTCTGGCCGGTTGACCAATTCTGGCTCACTGCCTGTTTTTGTATGGCTTGTGAGCCAAGAATGGTTTTTATATTTTTTAATGAAAACAATTGAAAGAATAATAATAATTTGTGATACATGAAAATTACAGGAAATGAAAATTTCAGTGTTTGTAATTAAATTTTTTTGAAACAAAGTATACCCATTTGTTTACTGTTGTCTGTGACTGCTTTTCTACTAGTGTCAGAGATGAATAGTTCTGTGACAGAGACTATATGACCCACAAAGCCTGAAATATTTATTATTTGACTCTTTACAGAAAAAATTTGCTGACCCCAGATCTAGATTATTAATAATTGTTCCTTACTATAAAAGTACTTTAGTAAATATTTTAATATCTGTGCATATCCATGATTATTAAATAAATTTAATTAATTCATTAAAGAAATTAAGTGAATTTCTAAGGTAGAATCCTGGCTCCAAAGGGTATGCAGAATTCTAAGACTGTGGGTTTTTTTTTTTTGGCTGCGTTGGGTCTTTGTTGCTGCACGCAGGCTTTCTCTAGTTGTGGCAAGCGGGGGCTGCTGTTCGTTGCGGTGCACGGGCTTCTCATTGCTGTGGCTTCTCGTTGCAGAGCACTGGCTCTAGGCACGCGGGCTTCAGTAGTTGCGGTGTGTGGACTCAGTAGTTGCAGTGCGCAGGGCTAGGCATGCAGGCTTCAGTAGTAGTTGTGGTGCGTGGGCTCAGTAGTTGCAGTGCGTGGGCTCTAGGGCTCACGGGCTTCAGTAGTTGTGGCACATGGGCTTAGTTGCTCCGCGGCATGTGGGATCTTCCCAGACCAGGGATCGAACCCTTGTCCCCTGCATTGGCAGGTGGATTCTTAACCACTGCGCCACCAGGGAAGTCCCTCTAAGACTTTTGATACATATTGCCAAACTATTTTTTGGAAGGTTGTACCAGTTAATATCAACCGTGGATGTCAGTAATTGTTTTTCTATGGTTTTCTTTGCAACTCTGTGTAGAAACCTTTGAAAAATTATTTGCTGATTTTACATGAAAAGTATAGCATCAATATTGTTTGGCTTTGGTTTCTTGATTATTGGTGAGGTTGAAAATTTTATCATATGTTTATTGACTATAATTCTTTTATAAATTGCTTTTTTTTGGTCACTTGCCCATGTTCCTGTTAGGATGTTTTAAAAATTGATGTATGAAAACTGTTTAATTCACTTCTTTATTTTGACTCAAAAGAACCTCCTTTGTACTCCAAGTGGAAAAGTATTTTTTGGATAAAGATCTTTTAACAACACATTTTGCAACTTAAAGTACATTTGAACTGATAAATTGAGCTGATGTTTTCCGTTATTAGGAGAACGTTTAAACCTACATTTTGTTAATTCCTCCTGATATTAAAGGAGAAGTAAGTCTAATTTATATTAGGCAGATTAATTTATAACTTTACAAACACTTGATCTAAGAGTTTCTCAGACTTTCTGTTGGCTCTGGCTTGGCTGCTGTGTGTATTTAGTTATAATTTATGATAAACACTGTGGGAAGGGAAGATTCTGTAGAGCTGGTGGGACCGTTTTGTTGGGCAGTGCCAGGATCCTGTTCTTTTTGAATCAGAATTGTCCCATTCTTGTAGTGACAGTTACTGGCACTCTACCTGTCCCAGATTTTCCTTCTGAAGATTGAAAACTTTGGGAAAATTACATCCCCTATGTTAGTTCAGCTTTGTTTAATGTGAGATGGAGGTAAGGGGTATATCTGCTGCGGGAGGTAGAAAGGAGGGGGTGAGAAAGCCACAGGTGGTGTATCCCTGTGCTGGAGTTTCTTCCATCTTAGGATCTGTAATGAGCCTCTGTATATTTGTCTTTTCCAGGACTATTCCTTTTCCAGTGTTCGTGTGGAGACGCCCCTCCTGCTGGTGGTGAATGGGAAGCCTCAGGGCTCCAGCAGCCAGGCCGCTGCCACAGTGGCATCGAGGCCACAGTGTGAATGACCTTCCTTGGGTGGCATGCTAAAGAGGGAGTAGAGGCGAGGAGAAAAGCTCAAGGGCACTCGGCAACTGCACCAGCCAGATCCAGTGACGCAACTGGAATTGGGGGGACGTTTTAGATGACAACTTTCCTTTCCTCTGCCCTGTAAGACACTTTGTGTCTTCTTTCTTTCCTGTTGTGTTCCAGCTCTCTCTGGGGCCACACATGTCCCTGGTATATCTCCTGCCTCTTCCATTGCTCTTCTATGTTTTAGGCAAAGAGCATGGAGTTGGTAGAAGTGTTGGGACCTTGTCATGGGACAGAGTCCTCAAGGTTCTTGTTCTTGCCTCCTTCCTAAGCCTCATGTGTATATATCATTTCAGTATTTATTGCTAAGGGAGGGGGTTTAATTTTTTTAATGACTTAGTTTTTGAGCAGTTTTTATTTTTAAAATTTAGGTGCTTCCCCTTCTTTGGGGCTGGAACAGAATTAAATTTGTTTGGAAAAAAAATACTGTGTAGTTTGGCCTGCTTCATTCTCTCTAGGCTTGAATTCTTGGTTTTAGGATCACTTCAATCCATTAGAGTAATACCCCCTTCCCCGCTTTTTTCTTTAAGCAAAATAGTTTACTTCTCTCTCAGTTAAAAGAAATCTGGCAATAGGCAGCCCAGGGCAGGAATGGCAGTTCCACAAAGTTGTTGGGAACCAGCTTCCTTCCACTTCCCCATTCTGTCATCCTTAGGAGTGGCCCTTATCATAGTCCAACATGACAGCAGTACTATTCTAATAGTGTTACTAGGGTGAAAGACCAGAGAGAGCTAGATATTCAGTTCCTTTAGGTTCTAGTGATACATTTTATAACAGTTTCTTTTAATACCCTTGTGGAAAAATAGGGAAATATGAGGGAGGATTATTAACCAACTGAATGGTTATAACCAGAGAGTGCACTAATGGATACAGATTAATTTGGAAGACTTCTAGTGATGTTTGTGTTTTAAGAAGTCTTTCCCTATCCTGAAGTCATCAAGACATATCCCCTCTGTTGATTTATGAATTTTTATCATTTTGTCCTTTTCTTTCATTATGACCTTTCCTTGTGTTACGATGTAGGTATATAATTTTTTTTCTTAATGAGTAATTAATTGCCCCAGCACCTTTTATTAAAGATCTATCCTTTGCCCACTGATCTTTAAAGCCCAATCTGTCTTAAACCAACTTTTTATATATAGTATATAGGTCTGTTTCTGAGCTTTCTCTTCTGATCTATTCTGATCTATTTGTCTATTTCTATTCCAATACCATATTGTCTTCTCATTTTATAAAAAGTCAGTATCCAATCAGAATAACAATGGGCCATGTTGTTCTTAACCAGTGGCCCATTTACATTTTAGAATCCGTAAATTTTCGTGAAAAACTCCTCTGGGTTTTGCTTGGGGTTGCATTGAATTTATAGATCAATTTAGGAAGAACAGACATGTTTATAACATTGAATCTTCTTATTCGTGATTTTCTTCATTTACTTAAGTCTTCAATATATTTCAATATAATTGTATACTTTTTCTGGAAAAGTCCTATATATCTTTTATTAGATTTATTCCTAGATACTTCGTAGTTTTCTATGCTATTGTAAATAGTATAATTTTAAAAATTACATTTGCTAACTGTGCTTGGGAATAGATATAAATTGACTTTATATATTTTATAGCTGTCACCTGTTTAGAACTCTCTCATTCTAATAATTTGTTGATTCCTTTTGGTTTTCTGTGTATAAATAACAACTTTTTTGTGTCTTCCTTTCCAGTCCTTTTACCTTTTATTTTCTTTGTTTTCTGCAGTAGTTAGGATCTCTAGTATGCTGAATACAAGTGATGATTGCAGGCATCCTTGTCTTGTTCTTATACTTAAAGGAAATATTTTCAGAATTTCAGTATTAAATAAGATGTTTGTTATATAGTTTTTACATATGCCTGATCTTAGATTTCAAGCCTATTTGGGTTTTTATGATGAAAAGGTATTACATTTTATCTAATGCTTTTTCTGCATTTATTGAGATGGCAGATGACCTTTTTTTTCTTTTAATCTGTTAGTGTGGTGGATTAGAGTACTCAGCTTTTTTTTTTTTTTTTTTTTTAACGGTACGCGGGCCTCTCACTGTTTTGGCCTCTCCCGTTGCGGAGCACAGGCTCCGGACGCGCAGGCTTAGCGGCCATGGCTCACGGGCCTAGCCACTCCACGGCATGTGGGATCTTCCCGGACCGGGGCACGAACCCGTGTCCCCTGCATCGGCAGGCGGACTCTCAACCACTGCACCACCAGGGAAGCCCGAGTACTCAGCTTTTGATTAATAAATCAAACTTGCATTCTTGGTACAAAACTTACTTGGTCAGGATATGTATTTTTTTTTATATCGCTGGATTTACTTGTGTAATATTTAAGATTTTATATCTGTGGGTCACAAGTGATATTAGTTTATGAGTCTACACTATTTCTTAATCTATTCTAGTCTGGTTTTGGTATTAAAGTTATGCTAGCCTCATACAGTGAGTAAAGAGCGTATCTCCTGTATGTTTATTTGAAAAGATGATATAAAATCAGTTTGTCTTTTTCTTGGTAGAACTTGCCCATAAAGTCATCAATCAGCACCTGGCATTTTCTTTATGGAAAGATTAACTTCTGATTTAAATTCTTTAAGGTTTATTGGATTGAATTATTCAAGTTTCTCTTGATTAAGTTTTGATATTTTGTATTTTTTAGTAATTTATCCATTTCATTTAAGTTTTCAAATTTACTCTCCTAAATATTTGTAGTATGTTCCTTATTTGTTTATTCTCTATGGTATCAGTCATTTTGTCCCCTTTTTCTCTAACGTATTATTGGTATTATTCATTTGTACCTTATCACTTCTCCTTCAGCCTTTTGTCTCTTACAAGTCTTCAAAGAAATTGACTTTGTTTACCCTCATCTTTTGTAGTTTTTTTCTTTTTCATTAGTTTTTATTTTTATCTTCATAATATCCTTTTTTTCTCCTGTTATAAGAGTGCCTATTCATGAGCTGGGATATAATTTTTGTATCTGACAGTCAACATGACATTTCATTGTTTTAAATTTTCATTCCTTTAGTTGTGATGTTGAACATCTTTTAATAAAATACTAGCTAGCTACTTATAAATTTGATGTGTAACAGAGAGCATCCAAGACTGAGGAAAATATATTAAAAAAAATTTAGGGAGCTGTGTTTAGGAAATGATATAGCACTTTGTACCATCTATATTATATGACACATTTTATTGTATTATGATTACTTGATTCTATGGTTTGAACTCTTAAAGGACAGCCACTAACTCATACTTATCTTTGAGTTCTAGACATTATTATATACATCTCTGAGTGTTGGACATTGCCTGATTTGACAACAAATGGCTGGCCGGCTGGACAGATGGTGGGTTAGGAAAACAAGATATATTAGATTAATGTAGAGAGTGTTGACACCTTGTATGCAGAATAATAATGATTTTGAAACTTTATTCTGTTGGCTTGAAGAGCCTTTAGAACAGGGCTCCTGCTTTGGTAATTGCTTCTCTTGTAGGTTCACTTGGTCTCTAGCCTTCAGAGAGAGAGTGGAAATTGTGCTATTCTTTATCACGATACTTGGGTGGGGGGTGGGCCATGGAGGTCAGAATTAGGAAACGGGGATGGAATATATCAGTCATGGTTCAGTCAGGGGAGCAGAACCTTTATGAGTTATGGGATAAGGGATTTATTATATAAATTAGACCTCATGCAAAGTCTTATATGATAATATATTTATTATATAAAAAAGACCTTATGTAGTTCCAGCTTAGCAGGTTGGCACAGTACAAACCAACATGTAGAACTGGTAGGAGGATACTCCAAGAGTAGAGCAGAAGTTGAAGGTTATAACTTGGTTCTACATGGGAGGAAAAGAGGCCTAATTACAGTGATTAGGGGAAGAACTGAAGGGATAAAGACCTAGGGTGTTGAGTATGAGAGGGTAACCGTGAACATAGTGAACCCAGGTAATTGCCAAAGCACAAACTGTTTTTGATCAGTGGATATGATGTGCGTAGCCCTGGTGGAGAAGTCAGAATCTTATTGAATCCTATTTCCTATATGGACACTTCTTCCTCATCCTCTCTTTAAATGGTGGTGGCCTTAGGAGTTCTACCCATGGCCTACTGCTTTTCTTCCTCAAAACATTTTCATTGAGCCATTTCATTCATAGCCATGTGTTCACTTACCAAATTACTAGTTTTCCTAAATTTATATTTCCAGATCTTTTTCCCTAGTGCTAGTGATAAGTTTACACCTGCTTACTAGGCTATATGTGCCATAGACGTTTTAAATCCAGCGTATCTAAAATAGAACTCATTATCTCTAGCAGCTACCTCTGTTGTCTCTCTCTGTATTAGCAGCTGACATCACCATGTATTCAGTTATCTAGGCCAGAAACTTGGGAAGTCATCTCTGATTCCTTCTTCATGTCTAATATCCCCCAGTGTGTCACATGGCTGTTATGTTGATCATGTCTCCTAAATATCTCTTCATTTATTTTCTGTCCATTCATATTGTCTTAGTTCAGTAATTCTGTATTTCTTGCCTGACTGTGGCAATGGTGGTCTTTGTTTTCCCTATAGTTGAAATCTTACTTTCTCTAACTTTTTTCACTTTTTAGTAATAATGATCATAATAGTAGTATTGTCCAAATTTATAAGTTTGTAAGTAGTAGAGCCATGATTTGAAATTTTTACTGTTATTGTGCTTCAAAGGCTATGGGTGAGTTTCTTTCTTTTTTTTTTTTCTTTTGCGGTACGTGGGCCTCTCACTGTTGTAGCGTCTCCCGTCGCGGGGCACAGGCTCCGGACGCACAGGCCCAGCGGCCATGGCTCACGGGCCCAGCCGCTCCGAGGCACGTGGGATCCTCCCGGACCGGGGCACGAACCCACGTCCCCTGCATCGGCAGGCGGACTCTCAATCACTGCGCCACCAGGGAAGCCCATATGGGTGAGTTTCTTACCTCTCTGAGATTCAGGGTCTCCATCTATAAAATGGAGGTAATATTACTACCTACCTTGTAGGATTGTTATGAGGATTAAATGAACTCATACATGTCCTACAGGTGGTACATGACAAGTATGCTTGTTATGCTAATGTGCCTGTTATGCTAATGTGCTGTTCTGCTGTTTCAGAAGTGGGAAGTGCTGCCAACAGTTTCACCTTTCTCAAAACAATTCTGATCATATAATTTCCTTGTTTAAAAACGCTCAGCAATTCTTTAATTCCAGTAAGACACTCCTTCACATGGGCCACAGCCATCACGTTTTGGTCTGCTTATCTATATTACCTCATTTCTGCCCTCTTCTTATAATCCTAATGCATGGCAACCCCAGCATATTTTTAATATCTGGAAATTTCCATGCTCTTTCATACCTCAGCACTTTTGCACATGTGATTCCTTCTGCTTGAAATGTGTTGTCTTCACTCCTGGAGAGC